AGAATTGACATTGAGTAGCGGGGTCAATGTCCTTGTGAAGATGCTTCACAAGTCTCCATATGGAGAGGACTCACTTTGGAAACCAGGGCTTGGAGTCTACTGCCATGATTCAGTGGGATATTGGGGTGTCCTCTGTGGAGAAGAAGTAAATACATTTTTTTTAAGTAAGAGACGGAGGTAAATATTTGAGACCAAGATGAAGGATGATAAATTACATCTGAATTTCAAGTTCTTCCCTTTCTTCTCAATGTATACTCCTTGTGAGTCCCATCCAAAGCCCTTTGATTCTAAGGTTCCCTTAAGAAGAGGCAGACTTTCTTATCCCTCAGAGCTTGGCCATGTGACCTATTCCAACAATGAAGTAAGAGTAGAAGTTTCAGATGCCAGTTCTGAAAAGAAGCTTTCAAAGCCATCACACATTTCTGCTAGCTCTCTTGTTCATTTGCCTCCACCATGAATGGGCATGTCCCCCTTGGGGACTGATCCTTCAGTGTGGCTCATGGCATGCAGACACAAGGAACAGTGCTATAGCCAACTTCCCGTCAACACACGACAGAGCATGTTGGTCAGATTTGAACAAAACAGCACAGCCACCAGGAATGATTCTGAATGTGAGAGGCTTAAATAGAAAAGTTGCATTGGTCTGGTTCAAGTCAAGAAGAAAACTACTAGGAATGATGTAGAATATGTGATTTCTCTTAAGTAAGGACTGAAGCTGAAACAGTTATAGACCCTGGAAAGAGCTTTTTGGTTGGCTGCTTCAGGGGTGCTGAATCTGAGGTTCTAACACAGTTGGGCAGGAGCCCATGATGGGCATGAAGTGGGGCTGAGCAGGGACCACAGGATCCAGGAGGAGCCGGCTGGACATGCATCCGTCCATCCCTGAAACTACACTGGCCTTCCCATGTCTAAGCCTCCGACCTCCTTGCTCTGGATGCTCTTCAGGGGAAGCAGGTATTCTTGTCACCAAGCCACACTCCAGGAGCAGGGTTTGGGTAGCAGAATGAAGTGATCTGCCGGGCACTGGAGCTTGGGCCAAGTCCACACAGTGCTCCAGCAGATCGATGAAAACATGTGCATAGACTGTGATAGTCTGAGCGGTGAGACTTCCTAGGGGAACCAGGCCATGTTCCACTCCCACCCTTCAAGTCCTTACAAAATGTACTTGTGACCCATCATAGCAAAGGGGCAAGGAAAGGGACTCTGGGGCTTGTGGTTCAGCCTAAAAATACGACTGCAAAGCCACCTCATGGAAGAGTTTGTCGCCATGAGACACTAAGACTTCTGAGTTGATTTATATGATAGCATCATTGCTGGATAAAATGACCAGCCTCCAGCTCCTTCCAGATCATTTGCCTTTCCAGGCTTCGGCCCATCTACCTCCTGGCCTGTGGTATGTGTGCAAAGAGCCCACCAGACTTAGGTGGAATAAATGCTACTCATTTAGTATTCTTGCATCTTCTTGCACTAGACTCTAGCTTTTCATAGAAATTGTAATAGTAAACTAGAAAAGCATGGTCCGCCTTCTCCCAAAGCTCACTGCATGGAAGGGAAGACCAGCGGCAATAAAAATCCAGTTCATGGGCCCTCATGGGTGGCGCAATGTGTTAAAGCACAGTGCTATGAAGCTTTCTGAAGCCCCTGCGGCATGAGTTCAATTCCCAGCCAGGGAGGTGACCCACAGGGCGCGGCAGACCTCTCCTGACCCTCCCGCTGCTCCCCTCAGCAGTGTACTTCATCAGTTGGCCTGTTCTGCTCCCTGCTCTGTCTCTGATTAATCCTCTCACCCCTGCACCTCTGGCCTGTATCCCATTCCTTGTAAGCATAAATAAATAAATCTGTAAAAATATGGTTCTTTCATGAAATATTATGCATGTTCCAAAGGAAATGTATAGAGAGCTGTGAAGTCTAAACCTGGCCCGAAGGGCACAGAGGGGCCGCTTAATGGGCTGTTTGTGACTACATGTGTGATGCCCGTGGTTTTTCTTCTGGTGTAAATTTGCTTTGGCTATTAAGCCCCATTTGTGGTTCCATGTGAACTTAGGGCATCATTTTTCTATTTCTGCAGAAATGTCAGAGGCTTTTGATAGGGATTGCATTGAACCTGTAAATTGCTTTGGGTGGTATTCACAGCCTAATAGTGTTAATTCCCCCAGCTCATGAACAGAGATATCCCCATGCCTTTCCATTCAGTTGTGTCTTCTTCAATTTCTTTATCCGGCATTTTATAGTTTTCAAGGTATAAGTACTTTACCTCCTTGGTGAGATCTTTCATTCTTCTTGATGCTATAGTATAAAGTGAAATGGGAATGTCTTCTATGTCAGCTTGGTGAGCCTCTGTCCTACATGTGAATAACAAGTCTTCTTTTCCAGGGCTGAGAGGTTTCAACCAGATTGTGTAGATGCAGTTGCCTCTTCTTAACTGGGCTTCCATATCTGAGGTGCCAGCCAGCCATGGATGGAAAATAGAGGCTGCCAGTTTGGTCCCAAGGGTGGCACCTATGCTGAGCACGTGCAGGCTGTTTTCTCCTCATTACTCCTCAAGTGTAACAAAATAATAGCCACTGAGGTAGCATTTCCATTGTGTGAGCTGTTAGAAGGAATGTGGAGATGACTTAAAGTAGATGGGAGTATGCCCATAGGTTATATGCAAATACTACAAATTTTCCTACATGGGACTTGCAGATCCGTAGATTTTGGCATAGGGAAAGGTTCCTGGACCACCCCCTCAGCTCCCAAGAGACCACTGTGCAGTATTTTATTGGTATTCATTGTATTTAAAAGTTTTTTATTATGTATATATTTTTACATCATTCTTCCTTTTTGCACAACACATGCTTTCTCCTTTCAGGTCCCCACAAAATTCCCACCACCAAGTCACACATGCACCATCACCATAGTCCCTTGTGCTCTTCCCTACCCCACCCCCCGTTTTGATCTGTCTTCCTCTCCCTGTGCAGTGTATGTGCAGTGTGTGGTTCCCAGGAAATGCTCACATGTGTTTGATGGTGTCGTTACCCTTTACAGGTTAACTATACAAGCCCAGAAGCCAGCTTGACAGACCAGCTCACTTTGAGGAAAGATATTGAATCCCTGTGCCTCAACTTTCTCATCTGTAAATCAACAGTATTCTGATTAAATTTTATGGTTAATATATATGTGAAAGAAATTTAGAACACTGCCTGGCACATGGAGGACTCCATCAAGCTGTCAATTATTATGGTCATTAATGAAACCCTAGTATACACCATACTGGGAGAGAAAGTACCAGCATCTGCCCAGCATCAGCTCTTTGGGAAAGAGGGTTGGTGGGTACCTGTGGAGCAAAGGGTCTTGAAACAATGAGAAGGATTTTCCCACCCTCTTCTAGAAAACACTAGCCAAGGCTGGCAAGAAGATGATGACAAGTGTCACTGAAATAAGCACCATGATACAGTGAGTTCAACGTTGAATACAAGAGAAATGTTTTTAAAAGGTCCCCTGGAGCCAAATGGAGGCCCTAGGCCGGAAGACCCTGGGCAGCCGTCTTGCGTGTCTGGCCCTCGCCCCCTGCTCCCACTGCTCTTGAGTGGTTTAGCCTCAATTTACACAGGTAGGTTCCATGCACAGAAAGGCTACATAAGCCAAGCAAAAGGTCAACAGAAAGACAGAACTTGGAAGCTGACTGTAGGTCTGAGGCATGCAGCTGGAAAGGGGAGAAAGAGGAGTTAAAGTAGGGGAGGGAAGAACACCAGGGGTGGTGGTGATGGATCCAGGCGCTACGTGGCGGGAGGACCAAAGGGACTACACCTAGGGGAGGAATCGGAGACTGTCCCAAAGTAAACAAGGCTCTAAGGACACCAAGAAATAATATACAGTATCTCCTCAGTGAAGAAAAGAATTACATCGAATTCATTTCTAGCATTTTCACTTCACTAAAGGAGGTTTTTTTGTAACATTTCCCTTAGTTAGTGGATAAAAGAGAAGACTGTGGGTTATTTCAAAGCCACCGCTTCTCTGCTTCACCCCACCCTCAAGCTGGAGCAATCATCCATTTGTTGATACAGATTTGTAGTTCTGATGTCTGGTGTGGGGGTGGAATCCACCAAACCTGTGCCTGTAGAGCTTGTTGAGGACACTTCCCAACAGGATCTCATGTCATTCTCCAAGCCACCCAGTCACATACAAATGGCTGCATTTATGGTGGAGAAATCACAGTTCACGGAAGTTAAGTGCAGGTCTGTGTGCAGATGGCTTGCCTTGCAGACAGTCTGGGCTCAGCCCGGGCCATGCCATTCCAGGCCCAGCACTTCTCCTGAGTCCCCGGAAACTCTGTTTCTCTTACTGCTCGCAGTAACAGAGATTTGTAGGGATCTTCAACTGGCATCATGCTCTTTACATGCTGCAAAAATAGGAATGTAAAATGGCACCCATAACTTCATGCAAAGCCTTTGGGGAATCCACCAAAGTTTTTGGGTGATAACTTATCACCACCACACACCTTTTCATCTGCTCAAGCTCCTGGTCTTTAATAGTGTCCTGAATATCCATTTGTCAATTTACATACTGTCTGTGCATTATCATCAAGAAGTATAATTGATTCAAAGAACACTTGTGCTATGCATCTGAACATAGCTAGGAGATGAGAAACAAGAAGTGTGGCCCCTCTCAAGTTTTCTCATTTCTGGCAGCTAAGGGTGAGGAGTGAGCTCAGAGCATCACCCTTCAATGCATCTAGCTGGACCTCTGCAGAGGCTGTCTCCCAACCCCCCCACTCCCTCCCTCTCCTTCATGGCTCCAGGAGACCTTCTTGAGTCTACCTCAAGCTCCTCAATGTGAAAGCCGCTGACATGATCTGGGCAGGAAGTGTGACCTCATAGGCTTTGGTTCCGCAGGCTGTTTTTTGAAAGAAAACAAGGGTGTTGGTGGCACTTGCTTTCCCAAGACCTTCATGCTCTTCTATTCTAGGAAACAGCAAAAGCACACAGATTGCTGAAGACTGAACTCTGCAAACACCTGCCTCCAGCCACGGTTCACTCCTGGCCTTGCTCAGAAGCTGGGAGAAATGGACTTTCCCTTTCTTAAGGAACTTCCACACCTGTTGATGTTCTGACTGCTAAGTCCTGGATCACTCTGCTGACTGTCACCCACAGGAAACTTCAGATTCCAGTAATTATTTTGTCATTTATCAATGGGAGGAAGAGATGGGGAACTTCCTTAGGAAAGTACATGTTCGGGCAAATTATTTGTCAGAATAGATGTGTTGCTTTGATGGAACTGGCAGAAGGCTGTCTGTTTCTTGAAAACTTTTTAAAGCTGTAGCTAAAGTCTCCCCTGTGTTACTAATACTGTATAAACTGTTAACAGACTGCCACTAGTATTTGTAAGATGCAATAATAACACCTTGTTCTCTGCTGCAGGGTTTGTTGGCTGAAACTTAAAGTTAGTGTGATTGAACATATCCATATCATATTGATCAAATATCAAAGGGACAAGTGACTTACTATTCTATTGCAGGGCAAACAATATTATGCTCCAAACAAATGCAATCTATGCAAGTGTACTTTGATTTAAAAGTCTTTCAAAGGGTATCAGAAGCTTCCCCTAATTTCTCAAAAAGTCCCGTAAGCCAGGATCTATATTTTCTAACAGGTTTTGTATGATTTATAGAAAACATCGATCTGGAGCTAGAGAATTAACCAGGTTTGATTTACCATATGAAGACTACAAAAGTAATCCACTAGCAGTTATTCCATTTAAAAAAATGTAGATTCAAGTGGTAAATTAGAAAGGAACTTAGTTCTTCCTTCTAAAGCTACTAGAACAGCACTATGTACAAGGTTTCATTGGCTTAGGCAGGTCCTTCAACTGAAGATACACATCATGATGAGTGCTAATCATAAAGGTTTAATAACTTACACACATGTATATATGCTTAATTTGTAAGTGAAAAAGCAAATTATATATTCATGAGAATCATATACTATTTTTAGTGCAATATTGCTTATGCTGCTTAGGCACGTCCGGGCTCACAGAAGCTCAAGGAGACCGCCCTTCCTCTCTGCAACTGCCTGTCCCTGTTTCCAGCTGTTGTGCAGAAGACACCAATCCCCATGATTGTTTGAAACTTGGTAATGAGGCTGACACTGGATGAGAAAAATACAAATACATGTATTCTTTGGGCTCTAGAGCCAATCTTAATCAAAGAACTCCTTTTCATTATATTGTTTTGACTACAAGTCAACTATTATAAGTCTAGCTTTTTTAAGTAAAATGTTCTTTCTTAGCAAAAAAAAAAAAGTTGATTTAGATTTACTGAGACAATGGAAAGAAAATGAATAGGAAATCGTCAGCAGACAGTCTCAGGGGTCCTTCAATCTGCTCTCCTGCCTTCCATCCTATATCTGTATAATTTAAGTCAACAAATCTGACTAGTGCAATTAGTAGATGCCATCTGTTTTGGCATCATTTTTCTATTTTTAATATATAATCCACCTTTTTTTTTAACATCTTTTGCAGAAAATCTGTGAAGTTTGAACAAGCAGCTTTCCAAGATGTACCGACTCTCTCAAGTGATGTCAACACCAGTAGCAAGTACACGTAGGAGCTCTGCTACCCTCAATTATCATTTGAATGATTAGACTTCTTTTAGCAGTTTCCTCGCTTTGATTTTGCTGATCCTCATACCATTAACCATCTGTCAGTAGCTTGTGCTTCCTAAATGCCAGTGTTCACTTTGGCAATGATTTTGACTTCATTTTTTTCCTTGAGAGAAATGTGGTACTTTTCCTTTTAGTAGGAAAAAAAAAATAGCTGTTTTTTTTTTAGATGCCTGTGCATAAATGTGAAAGGAGGTTGTTTATCAGATACTATTAAGATGCAAAACTGTCTATGAAAAAAATAGTGAATGATTTGGTAGCTACTTGCAGAAAACAAGGGCGTTGTTGAAGCGGTAGTGGTTTCACTTTCTTCCTTCCTCTTGTTATTTTTTTATCCAAACTCTGCTTCTAACCCTCCCTCGCCTACCTACAATTTTCTCTTTATAAATCAACCAGCTCCAAATGAACGTCTGAATTCCTTTCTAGACATAGATAGTAATTGTCAGTAATGGAATCCAGTTTCACCAAGCCTGTCTGTCAGAAGTTTTCACACCATTACTGCACAACATGAAATTCCGCTTTAGAGTTCAGAATATTAATCAGCTTCAGCTTTCTCCAACTGAAATCTGTTGTCATGTCTTTGGTTCTTCAGTTAAGATGAAATACATGTATATTTTTTAATGAATACATTAGAAAATCTTTTTTAATGAATAATACTGACATTTCATACATTAGAAAATCTTTTCGATGAAACACACAGAACTTGATTTTTCACACACACACACACGTGTATATATATATATATATATGGACGTGTTTTAAAATGCACCAAGGAGCCAGTCTGGACAGATGACTGAATCCCTCAGCTCACTGAGCAGGTTCAGATAACCAGCATGTTGCTTAATTGACTTTAGTTTTCTATGGCTCCATTCAAGTCGTTTTCTTCCCCCCTTCATAAATCAGCTTGCTGTTACTGATTTATTGTGGGAGCTAAGTAGCTGCCAAATGGGTGTTGAGTGAGAGAAGCAGCAGAAGTCTAAATCCCCTAAGTTATTCCTGGCTCCCGGGAGAGACGTGATGACCAGTACCCATCCTGTCCATTGGGAGCAGCTTCAGCTGGAATCGGCTGAAGCTGGTACAGGGCCCTCACACGCCCTGAAACCACCATTGTTGGCTATCATGCATGCTGGTGGCGGGCGATGAGTACTTGTCTCTCATTTATTTACGCAGGATCTTCCAGGCCTGGGTCTGAGAGAGAATATTCTGGAGAGGTGTCCTCCACATGCATTTTCCCAAGGTATGCCAAGGGAGTCTTTCCTAAGAAAAGCGAATACTCTTTCCATATGTCTTATTTTGTTGTTTTTCGGGTTTAAAAAGAGAGGTTTTAGCGATGAGTATGTGGCTAAATATATGCATGTATGTTTTTTGGTACAGATATATATTTTCAGTTCTGTGCACACACAAGCAAAATCTCACATAACCTAACAATGGGCATTTTGGGGATGGGAGGGCTAGCATGTGGGTGACTATGAATTTTTTGGTAAATAAACTACTGAATACTGATGAATGGTTACTTTTTTCTCGTATTGATGTTTTCTTGTATGAGCTTTTCTATATCACTCTAAAAGAGAATGAGATGCTACACCAATATCCACATGGGTCACATGTTATGCTCCACTAAAACATGTAGTGCCTGCCACTTTGTTTAAGTTCTGCAAGGAAGACCCTTTACTACTTCCTTTTCTTTCCACCTGTCCTTGTACTTATGCGGATGGTGCTGATGTTTCCTCTCACATTTTGTGAAGGATGTCAATAGGATGAAGGGCTCATGCATTGTTCATAATAGCCACTTGCAAGAAACCTTAGTGTCCACTGAGAGAGAACTGGAGCAAGAGGATGTGATCTAGCTGCACTCTGAAATAGTATTCAGCCCCAAGAAAACATGCAATGTTGGCATTTACAGAAAAGCAGAAAGGATCTGAGGAAATGATGTCTAGTTAAGCAAGTCAGAAGGACAAAGACAAATATTGGACATTTATATGATGGACTGTTTGACAAAGTAAAAGACCTCTAAAGACCAGTGGATATTGTTAGTGAAATGAGGCATTTGGGCTTAAGGAGAAGAGTTGAGGGGAACAAAGGGCTTAAGGGAAGGTGGGGAAGGGAAGTGACATTTTTATTGCAGAAGTGATTGGTAGTCAGGAATGCAAGGAGGTGTTTCCATCCACAGAGTCTAGGAATGCATTTTTTTGTGTGACTGGCTGTACTGGCTAGGGAACTTCTTTGTTCTCCTCAGCTTTGCATGTGAGTACCTGGATGGTGACAGTCCCTTTGAGTGCTGCTCCTTCGACGCCCTGTCCGGCTCATACCTTGCCTGTCGCCGAAGTCCAAGACTCCTCACCAATGGCTACTACATTTGGACGGAGAACAGTTTCTTCTGTGACAAAGATGGCAACATAACTCTGAGCCCATCCCAGACCAGTGTTCTGTACAAGGAGAACTTGGTTCGGTAAGTAGGGGACACTATATGAAGGAATCCACCGTCCAATCCACCCATTAATTATTCTTTTATGTAGTTGTTCATTCAACTATAAGGAGCCTATTTCTCCTCTAGACTCTGGGAACACAAAGGCTGATAATGGGCAGGAGTAGCTGACCTAACAACAAATAAGAGTGAGACAGTGTCACAGAGTCTGGAAAAGAAGTCTGAATAGAGTTGAGGGGGGGAGTCAAAGGGACCTGCTTTTCCTTGGGGTCAGGTAAAAATAAGCTTCTGAGATGGTTGAACTGAGTCTTGAGAGATAGTGGATGTTAGCTAAAATAGGTGTAAACAGAGAGAGATGGGCATAGAGTCCTGAGAAACCCTGTTACATACTGGCCAATGGCATGTCATTTAGGGGTACAACTTAGAGTGGAAATGGCTGCTCAGGGAAGGAGAAGATGGAGCACAGATGCTGGGCTGGAGGGAAGGGTAAATCCAGAATATGGAGCTGGGGATTTATTTGGTGGAGGAAGGGGAGCCATCGACGAGTTATCAAGTTTACTGTTAGGGAGATAATACTGATCACCATGTAAAGGGTGGGGGGTCAGGAGTAGAGGGGCGATGTTGAAGGCAGGGTACTGAAAGACAGCAGATGCAGGAATCATAAAATCATAGCAAAGAGATAGTTTTAGAAGTGCAGATATTCTGTGGTCATGGTTGTTGTTTAGATGTGCAAGTTCTTGCTAAAAATGGGCTCTTGCATGAAATTGAAGATTCTGACTTTGTCAACTGCCTATATAATATCATATATAATAATACCATATATATCATATGTCTATATAATATAAAGTATACGTAATATTTGACCAATACCAAATCCAAAATAATAACCAAGGGAGGAAATATGTGGATGAAAGAAGATAAATGATTTCACTTCTGCAGGGATGAATCTAGGCAATTAATTTATTTTGTTTCAAAAGCACCATATGCTGACTGTATCAGTCAGCTATCAGTACAATAATGCTGTGTAACAAACAGCTATAACATGTCTATGGCATATAGCAATAAGCACACAAATTCTTACAAGTTATTTGGGATAGGCTGACCAAGGCTGGATAAGGCTGAGTTTGGTTTCATGTTGGAATCCACTTATCCATTTCTTTTCTTTTTTTTAAATATTTATTTATTGATGCATACAGATCTGGGGTATAGGCCAGAGGTGCAGGAGCAGTGAGAGGATTCACCAGAGACAGAGTGGGGAGCAGAACAGGCAGACTAACAAAGTACACAGACTAACAAAGGAGCAGTGGGCAAGACAGGAGAGGTCTGCCGTGCCATGTGGTCACCTCCAGGGCTAAGGATCGAACTCATGCTGAAGTGACTGTAGCTTCTTAGTGCTGTGCTTCAACCCGCTGTGCCACCAGGGAGGGACTATCCCTTTCTTTTGAATCCACTGGAAAACAAAAGAAATATTCTTCTCATGGTAATCAAACAAATGACAAGGGAAACACCCCAACTGAAAGGCAGAGGACGGCTCTGGACATAAATCACTTTCATTGAATTCTCTGTCTGGAAACTGAGATAGGTGCTGTTCAGAATTCACCACATCACCCTCAATTCTCCCCCAGAATATTTAGAAAGAAAAAGAGAATCCGCCGGCCCTTCTCTTCTCTCTTTGACCTCAGTGCTTCTGAATCCTGGTTATGTGACAGCATCTTTGGTGAAACTGACTCTTCTCCCAGTGAGGACCTCTGGTTGGAGGGGGTCAGGAGGTTGGACACCCACCACTGCAATGAGAACAGTGAGTTGGAATCTCCTTTTCCATATTGAGTGTCACTTCTGAATGGGAGCAACTGGGTGGGCTGATATTTGACCAATACCAAATCAGCAGGACAGAGTAAAGAGATATAAAGGATGAGCTGCATTTAAAAACTAGCTTGAATTGCTTTCCTGACTACTTATATGATCCAAATACAAAGTATCCATGCCATGCAAAACACCCTAATTTTAATGTGTAAGTTATTAACTTGATAGTATCTGGAAAATATTTGCATTTCTCTGATGTACCCGATATGGGAGGAGAAAGGACACTAGAATTATTAGAGTTCAAGTCTCTGTGTGGGCACATTGGAATAATTATTTATCTTGGCTAAGTCCCAATTTTCTCATTTTTCAAACAAGATATTTTAAGTAGACATAATTATATATGTGTATGTATTACTACTGAAATATATGCCATATGTGTATAATAGCTATGTCATATATAATTGTGTCATGTAATACCTTGTAATTAATAGGTACATATGTACACATATACTGATACATATCTGCACATACAGGTGTATATATATATATATGTGTGTGTGTGTGTGTGTGTGTGTGTGTGTGTTTGTATAGCACATATAATGTTCTTTTGAGTGATGGAAATTAAAGACACATCTTAAAGTTCAAAAGGACAATGACTATCAGTTATAATTCAATACTTGTGCAATCATTGCAGTCATAATTTTTTTATTACTTGAGTGGAAGTAACTGATGTTATTGGCACCAATCATCTACCAGGTGCTGATTTAGGGCTGAGGATACAAGGGTGAACACAGGCAACATAACCTCTCTCTCTCATTTGCTCTTGGGGTTCAGACCTCCGTTGACTAACCGCACAAGTGAATATAAGGTAATATTAGGGGGAAGCACCAAGAAGGAAAGGTGTGTGCTATATGGGAGGTTTCACTCACTCAGAAACTCAGGGAAGGCGTCCTGTGGAAGTGGCAGTAGAGCTGAGTTCTAGATAATGAGGGAGTTTTCTGGGTCCCCAGAAAATGAAGGGGGGTGATGAGCATTCTGGGCCAACGAGACGAAAAATACTAGGGTTTACAAAGTCTATTAGGTAGTCTGCTGGGTGAGGGAAGACCACTTATTTAGTCCAGAACATTTGGGGAATAGAAGTGAGTCCAAGTGGAGCTAGCAAGGGCATCTGAGGTCACTGGCATTTGTAGGTTGTTTCATCCAGGTAGCCCAGGTAAGGCCTGCAAAATATTTGCACATATACGCTGGACCTTTTCAGACTATGGTAGAGAAAGTACTCTAGAGATGGAGTCCAAGTCCACGAATGCTCTGGAGTGGCTGAGCTAGGTTAGGAAGAAGGCAGAGTTGACCAAAGGGTGAACCTACTGTTAGGGGAAAGGATGTCCTGAACAAACTCTGCAGATATAGGTTTTGTGGACTCCACCCCCTACTCCAGTCACTGAAACTACAGCTCCCAGAAACACCAAAGGGAGGACTGTGAGGACCTAAGGCCAGAGCTAAGCAGCCATTTTGAAACATTTGGGATATATAGAGAGGAGCCATGTTGAGCTGGCTCTCACTCTCTCCCTTGGCCTCATGGCTGGTGGCTGGTTGCTTGGCTCTTGATGAGCTTTCAGTGTGTTGTTGGGGTCCAAGTCAGCAAAACGGGTAGGACACTCTAGTTAACTCGTATCTCTCTGACTCTTTCCCTGGGCTGTTCCTTTCCTTTCCCTTTGTAAATAAACCCGCTATTGACCCCTTTTGTGTGTGCCTGCAATACAATTGAATTTTAAGTGCACAGGTGAGGACCCACAGACAGGCAACCCAGTTCACATCGGGTTGCCCTGTAACACTACCTCTGTGAGCTCTATGAGCTCAATACTGAATGCCTGAGTAGGACGGAATTAGCCTGCAAAAGAGAAGAAGCACCCAGAGAGGTGGGAGGAAACTGAGAGGGTGCTTTGTAGTGAAAATCAAGGGAAATCATGGCTCCAGAATGATACACTTCATAGATAAAGCCAAGAGGATTTGCTAGCATGAGCCAAGACTGTTTTATGGTTGGTACCTGGTTTGTATACAGTATATTGTTGAAATTGCCTCAAGCTCTTAACACTAGGTCAAATTATTATATTTACTGTAATTATGACGAATCAAGATTCAGGGTGAAATGACTTGCCCATGTACATTTGGTTTATAAACAGCAGCGTTGGAATTCGGCCCAGGTCTGTCTAGTTTGAAGACCCAGCCTTTGCTCTACTGCCAGGAAGAGTTGCTCCTGTCCAAAGCAGAACCCAGCACTTGCCACATCATAGCCCAGCCCAAAGAGCAAGACATTTATTACAATATATAATCACTTGAAGGTATAGTACTTAGTTGTTACTATTTTTCTCAACTTGCTTCCTGAGCAGAAAATTCAAACAGTACATTTTTAAAAACTTTTTAATTTGCAGTCATTATAGATTCACAAGAAGTTGCAAAAATAGTAAGCAGAGGGCCACCTACCCTTCCTCCAGCTTCCCCCACTGGTAATGAGTTCCTCAACTATATATAGGACATTGTCAAAACCAAGAAACTGACATTGACACAATATCCATTCAGATTTTTTGGGCTTTTGTATGACTCATGGTGGAGGGTGGGGGGTGGGGGGAGTATTTAAAAAAATAAACTAAGTGTTAAATGAATAAACAGATTCTTATAGATGAACATATAATTAATTAAATTGATTGCATCCTTGTTCTTCCCAATCATAAGGATGTCAAAATGGGATTAGAAAGGCAAGGACTTGAATCTGGAAAGATGGGATGAAGATATTTGAGGAAGCTTCTGTGTCATGTTGAGGAAGCTGAATTTTATCCAGTCAATCACAGATTCTTGAAGTCTCTTCCGCAGGGTGTGACACAATCTGATTTGCATTTGCAAAGATCAACTTCACAGGGAGAGGAGGTTCCACTGAGAGTACCTGACTGACATAGCTTTGAGGCAATTAAAACTAACAGGCATCCTAGAATGCTGTTCTGGGAATGAGGGGAGGGAAGGATTTGAGGACTGTTTTTCAAGGTAGACTTGACAGGTTGGTGACAGATGGAATGTAGTGATGAGAAAGTGGGAGGAATCAAAGAATCCTGACGTGTTTAATTCGGGGGACTACTTGAAAAGTTCTGCAGTCACAAAAGACAGTAGACACTATGGCAGAAGAGTGAGAAATATGGGCAGTTAATTGAGTGGACCTGAACTCAAGTCCTGAAACTATTTTTTTTTTTTTAGGTCCAGGGTATTCTTGGGCAAGTTAATTAATCAGGAAACTTAATGATCTTCCATCAATTTATATATAACATAAGAAAAATGATTGCATTTAGAGTTATGAGGATGAAATGCAGTGATTCATGACAATTACACATCAGCACAGGGGATGGTGTTTGACTTAATACTGGTTAGCTGCCGAATGGCTGAAAAGAACTGATTTGGGTCAGGAAAAGAGCCAGTTTTATTTCCTATAAACTGAATTTGAGTCACTCTGGTAAGTAGAAAACTAGCCAGTAGAGCTTCAGAAATGTGAGAATGGCGTTAGCAGTAGGTGAGGATCTAGAGATGCTGATTTGGAAGTCAAAAAGAAAAGTAGAAGAGGTCCTTGGAGTAAAGATGTCTACCTATTGAATGAGGCCCTCCCTGGTAGTGTAGTGGGTTAAAGCACAGTCCTAAGAAGCTAAAGCCACTTCAGCATGACTTTGATCCCAGCCCCAGAGGTGACCCACATGGTGCCGCAGACCTCTCCTGACTCACCCGCTGCTCCCCTCAGTAGTGTGCTTCGTCGATCTGCCTGTTCTGTTCCCCACTCTGTCTCTGATGAGTCCTCTCACCACCCCTGCACTGTACCTGTCCTGTATCTCGGTTCTGAATGCAGAAATAAATAAATCTTAAAAAAAAAATTAATGAATGAGTGGAAAGAATGGAATTCAAGGAGTTGAACAGAAGCTGTAATCATCAAGCTCAATGTCAGATCTACTGTCTTAGCCAGACTTGAAGGGTCCAGCACAGGGCTGATAGTGAAAGGTATCACGCTGCACAGCAGGTCTCGGGGACTTATTCATATGGCACAATGAAATGTATACTACTGAAATCATGCAGTATTTGTCTTTCTGTGTCTGGCTTATTTCCCTTAGCATAATGCCATGAGGTTCATCTTATGTTGGCAAGCATATGTCGAGAAGGGAGCCCTTTTACACTGTGGAAATGTAAAGTGACACAGTCAGTAGGTCTTGTTTCCTTAGAAAACCAAAAGTAGAATTACTGTATGATCTAGAAATCCCATTTCTGGGTATTTGTTCAAAGGAATCAAAATCAGAATCTCAAAGAGATCTCTATGCCCCTGTGGTCATTGTGGCAATGTTCATAATAGCCAAAACCGAGAAACAACTAAAGTGTCTATTGATGCAGAATGGATAAAGAGAATGTAGTCTGTAGACACATGGAAAAACATTCAGCCTTATGCAGGATGCTCACTGGGGAATCAAACAATTGCAATTCAGGAAGCACAGTTGGCAAATCCAAAACATGCCCTGAGAAGGAGTCCAGCTTGGGGGTCCTTATAAAGGGTCCTGCCATTTGCAACAACATGGAGGGAGTAGTATTCTTCTCCCCAATTTCTAGTGGTGACACTAAGGGGAGAAGCCCGAACAGATCAGATGTTTCCCTGGACAACACAGCTAGTAGGCAGGCTCGCCTGGCTTCAAGCCCAGGAAGTCTTGAGCAAGCAAGTACTCTCCATGCTACATTCAGGAAAGGCTCTGTGGGGGAAAGTTCTCGAGCAGGCAACCCAGGGCAGGATGTCATGGAAGAGAAGATCAAAAGGGCTGGCTCACAGTGCACAGCTTGCAAGGCTGAGCCAAGCATCCTGTAGCCCAGGAGAAGTCCGGTAAGCAGGTTCTGTCTGGAATCTCCAATCAGGAGGCAGCACAGAGGTCTTCCTACAGAATCTCAGCTTCCCCTGTCATTGTACAAATGCCCACGGGAATAAGGAGCACCCATTACTTTCTATTGCGATATAATTTTTTCCTTATAAAATAAAATGTGCTCACTTCAGTGATTATTTTTAGTGTTTTCATGAAGTGGGTTATGTAACCATGACCACTTTCTAATTCCAGAACATTTGTATCACCCCAAAGAGAACGTCATCCTCATGATCAGCTACCCCCACCCCCCGCCATTCCCTTCTGTCCATGACAACCACGAGTCTACTTTCTGTCTCCATGGATTTCCTGTGTTGGATGCTCATTGCTTTTTAAGGATGCCTCTGCCTCTTGTTGGTGCTACTGATGGAGAAGCCGCTTGCTTCCACCCATGAAAGTTCCCATCCCTGGGTGGATTTTCTGGGGCACACAGAGCCATTCTCTTCTCGGTTCCTAAGCACTGTTTCCCAAAGTGACAACCCAAACCTTCAGGAGACGATTAAACAGGCTCAGGGTATTCACTGGTGGTCAAACAGCTGCAATTCGGGGAGTACAGGTTGACATTCCCCAAGAAGGGGTCCAGGTTGAGGGTCCTTATAACGGGGGAAATAAGGTTGAGGTGATGGGAGATGAAGGGATGGATGAAGCCATGGGCAGGTGGAGGACTGGCAGGTAAAAGTCCCTTTATCAGCCCTTTCAAACAGAATATTCTCATCCTGTTGATTTCTTGGAATGTTGATGGTTTGAGGGCTTGGTTCAGGGATGTAGCCTTTTCTGGGTGATTTCCTCTGACCCTGTTTAAAAATGGCTCCAGTGATGTCAACTTTTTGCAGCAGTCATCATCACTGCATTTCACAAGAGAGGCCAGTTCTCCATTCCTCTCGCGCAATCCTAATAAAACCAGAGAGAAGGGTTCTGTGTAAAGCCTTCCTCGTGTTTCGATTTTTTAACACTGACTGTTGGCTTTTTCAACAAGGTTCTTTTAACAATGGACCAGTCAGAACTTTCTGCTTACTGCACAAAAATAAGGCATCATTTATCTTATACTTATTTTTACTTATGCTTTCTCTTTAGGGCATGGTAGTGATTGACACAAGTTTCCTTTAAGGTAAAAGATTCCCTGAAACAATCTTAAGAGGCCACCACAGTGTAGTGGTAAAGATGGCCCAGGATGGGGCAAAAATTAGGGAAATGATGCTTGGAGGCTGAAGTTTGGGAATCACTGTTTTAAAGGCAATGTTGCATAGATTTGGAAATTAACATCTAGTTTTTCCATAGTTGCCTTTTTGAAATATGTTCAAACAATTTTAGAGCTATTGGGCCACAGCAGTTTGCACGTGCATGAGATCATTTGTTAAAATTCTTATGGTTTCTGCTAAATATAACAAATCAAACCACCCCCCTCCCAAGTCAGTAATTAGCCAAACCTGGGTGCATACAGGACTTTGAAATCTCTCATCTCTGCTGTCAACTGTAATCAAAGCTTCCCCAGACTTCTTTGCCGGATTTACCAAAGCCCCGTGACTTTTATCAGCAATTTATTTTTTCCCTGGAAATGTTGTCTAGCTAGAAGACGCAAGAAGAATTCAAAATTATATTGTTTTGCTGTTTTCTCTCTGGGCAATGGATGCAATCAAAACTCACTTCCCCTGATTTTTTCTTGCTTCATTTTTTGGGCAAAAACGGATGGATTTTTGCCTAGTTTATGTATCCTTAGTTCACCCCTTCCACAGCTGTGGGGACACCTTTCCTCATTAGTTGCAATTCATTCTTTAGCCAAGGCATTTTGCAGATCCCCAAACCCCAATATTGCAATTGGGGATGCATTTCCAGAGCCCATGAGTCATAGTGAGAAAGGATAGGGGGTCTATGCTGCCTGGGGTGGGGGGGGGGAGAAGGGATGAACAGAACTTCCGTTCTATTTCTGCCAGTCCAGGGAAAGAAAGGTGAGAAGACTTCAAGGCCTCGCTCACTCTCCTCCCCTCCCACCCCGAAGCCTGGGCATTACCCCTCTCCACCTGGGGTTTGGGGTCTGCAGTGCTCTCTAGAGATGATGCCTCAACATAAATATCTACTCTTTTAAGATTTGTTTATTTATGCATACAAGAATTGGGTACAGGCCAGAGGTGTGGAGTGAGGGGTGAGAGGGTTCACCAGAGACAGAGTAGGGAGCAGGACAGGTAGATTGTCTGAAATACACTGTTAGGGGAGCAGTGGATGAGACAGGAGAGATCTGCTGTGCCATTTGGGTCAGCTCCCTGGCCGGGGATTGAACTCGTGCTACGGTGGCTGCTGATAGCTTCATAGTGCTGTGCTTTGACCCGTTGTACCATCAGAGAGGGACCTCACCATGTATTATGGCAACATATGTATGTGGCTTTGTCTTTCCCCACCACCCCCCACCCCAGCCAATAATCATGTCCACTTTACAAGCAAGCTCTGGAAGTGTGCTTGGAAGAAACAGATTTATCCTTTTAAAACAGAAGTAAACTACATGGACTTTACATCAATGCAAAGAACAGAATGAAATTAATATCTTCAGATATAGTACAAAAGAACTGTTTGCTGGGAAGTTTTCAGACTTCTGATTATTTCATTTATTATTCAGGTTGAGGAATAAAATTAAACGTCACTTAAGGAAAGGGTCAATCGTGAGGCAAATCATGTCTTTTCAGAGATGACAAATCCTTGATTTTTTTATTATTAAGATTTATTGTGTTTTCCCTCTTTAACGCTGTCTGTTCTGCTAGAGAATTCTGAGTACTATTCCCAGTGTTCTAGATGGGCTGTGTTTTCTAACTCACCCAGTTCTCAGTGGCAGAGTCAGAAGTTCAACAGGGCAGGCAAGGTGACTGCACAAGAATGAGCTCCCTGCGGCCACCATCTCACCCCCAGGTCCTCAGAGTTCCCTCGGGCACCATGCTTGAATACATCAGCAGCCATCCGGTTCCCAGCAATTTCTCCCTTCCACCTTCGCCAAGTAGCAGCCTCCCTTTATAAAATAGCCTCCTTTTTAAAATAGCCATCTTGAACCATGATGGATGTACAAAGAATTAGTCGTATTTAATTTGGACAATTTGGCACAAATGTCTATGAACTGGATGCCATCACCACAATCAAGGTCATAGTGTTAAGGGGAAGGATGTCCTAAGGAACTCTGCAGGGTCTTATGGACCCCATCCCCTACTCCAGCTTTCTGGACCCTACACCCTACTCCAGTGATTGGAACTACAATTCCCAGCAGTACCAGGGAGAGAACTGTGAGGACCAAAGGGCGGAGCTAGCAGGAATTCTGGGACATTTGGGGGATAAACAGGGTGTGATTCATCTGTGCTCTCTGGCTCGGGAAGCAGCTCTCCTGACTGCGTGACTCAGTGTGTTCAGTCAGCCTAGCTGTAAGTTATTCCAGTTACCTTGTATTCTGCTCTCTTTCCCTGGGTTGTTTCCTATTCCTTTCCCCTTTTGTAAATAAACCCGTTATTGACCCTTCTGTGTGTCCCTGCAGTATAACTGAGTTGTGAGCGCGCCGGTGAGGCCCCACAGGCAGGTGTAACCAACACCCCCCCCATTCTGTTATGTCCCTCTGCACAAGTGTGTTTCACTTTGAACCCTCCTTCTGCACTAAGGAGCCATTTCCTCTTCAACTTTTAAGGAAAGATGAGAACAAACTGAAACATCTCAGCTACAGAGCCATCTCCCACCCAGTGCAAGTAAATGGTGGGCGTGCTGGCATTAGAGTGATCATTGCCTACCTTGTACTGAGTGAGACTGCACACACACACACACACACACACACACACACACACACACACCCCTTTGCATGATACGGCATGCCATAGTACACACACCACTCCACATACACCACATACACACACGCACCACACAAACACACACACACAAAACGCACACACACTGAATCTTTCTGTTTTTCCAGGAGGCAATGTTGACTGTTCTCTGACAAATGACGGAGACCTAGAGAAGTCAGACACAGAATTTGTGAAAGCTTCTCCCAGCCACATCGAGTCTCCAACGTCTGAACATTTCCCGGGGAATCTCTGGGATCATTCAAGTGAGTTTTTCTTCTTAGCCCCTTCCACCCCCAAATAACCCTTCCTTTCAGGGCCCAGGGCAACTGAGAGATGATTAATGTGCATTTAGGAACTGGTATAAACCTGCCTCAGGACAGGAGGGCGGGACCTGCATGCTGGCAGTGAGGTGCCACGCTTCAGAAGGACTGGGTGCACAGTATTTTACTTATTTTCTGAAAACCCTGAAGACATTTGACAAAATGTTAAGCTGTGTTTGAGTTGGGTAGGGTATTCTTCATATTTAGCTTTGTCTTTGCCACATTCCATGAAAGGCAAAAGAAAGAAGAAAAAACTCCTTTAGTGCTTTGCCCCTGGCAAGGAAAATTCAAAAATATTAATGTCTTGATATTTCCTGTCAGGAGTAAATCTGAAAGAAGCTCAATAAGATAAGCCTGCCCCTTTGTCTCTGGTTTGCTGAGATCATATTAATGGTGTTTGCACACGCAACACATCGGGTTCCGTCATTCGTGGAGTTCTCTCATCCCACGGAGATCAAGCGCGCAGCTCTCCATGAGTGAACTCTAATTCAGAAGCAGTTCACTGAACTGTCTACAACTTAATATTGTCATCTGCCTATGGAGATAATTACGGTTTCTACCTCTTAGCCATTAACATAATTTACGTAAGCCTCCAAGCACCATGTGTTAAGTGCGCTAAATTCTCCCAAAACACGAAAACGGGATTATATAGGTTGAGACTAAATGGAAAGGCAATGTTTTCTATTTATCTGTCTTTAAAAATTCATAATTTTTGACTTCACCAGGCCTCCTTTTTTTTTCCACTCCCAACATGCCCTGCTCCATTTTGTTCCCAGTGTAGCTATCAGACAGCTATTTAAGGTTTTTTGTTTTACTTTTTGTTTTTTTTTTAAGTCTTCTTTCCAGGTGCTGGGATGACATTAAAAGCAACTTTTATTGTTTAGACCATTTAGACGAGGAATCAAGGAAGGCTTCCCGAAGGAGGTCACACTTAAGCTACATCAAATGTATACAAATGACTACTGTATGTAATCACATCTATGTGACTACTGATGGAATAAATCAGTGAACACCTGTCCAAACTCACACAGCTCATATCTTTGTAGAACTTGAATTGAAACCATTTGTTAAGCTGGAAATGTTTTCCAAATTCTACATGGAATGAGAGAAGACTAATAATAGCAATACTTTGGAAGGATGATTGCATGTTCAATTGAACCCTCAATGCCTTATTTAATTCACGGTGTACATAAAATACTATACATTTGCTCTGGCATATTTCACAACTTTTATATCTCACTTTGCCAATCTTCAGAATGCTGCCCAGATTATAGGCAAAGTAGGTTTTGTTAGCAGACTCAATCTTCATTCATAGCATAAATAGCAAAAGTCAATACATTCATAGCATCAAGTCATTCCAAATTGCCACCAACTCTTGCAAAATCAAGCTTTCTGGAACATTTGATGAAATTTCAGTCAATGTCTGATTTACTTTGCTTTCCATTTTTATGTGGTAACCTAAAGTCAGCTCTGATTTCTTTTAGGTGATCAGAGTAATTAGTACCCAAGCTCACATTGGTTTACTTCTTAAATTTATAACTGCTGGAGGGTCTGCAGCCACTTCACTGTGGCTTGAAAACCTGAAGGTCTCTACTGAGAACAAAGAGATTTCTTTTCAAGGACAAATGGTTAGAGTATATCTTCTCTTGTTTGACCTCTAGAGATTTCCAGTATGCAAAGTTGTCATTCCCTTTCCCTGCCCCATTTCAGACAAGCCATGATGTTCTGGTGACATGTAGGTTTTAAATCTTGGCTCTGACAATACATAGCTGCATGACCTTGGACACATTTCATTTCTCTCAGCCTTGGTCTCCTCCTTTGCAGAACTATGCTTGTGTTTCTTCCCTCAGAGTTTTGCTGCGTTGATTAAATGAAGTGTAAATGTGCTTTGTGAATTACAAGGCACTCTCCACATTTTAATTATTAATTGTTAGTGATAACAATAATATATTAGCATTATCATCTTTAAGGTTGGATTTCTGCAAAGCCTTCTGCCCCCAAATTAAATTAAAAGGCAAACCTAAAACTTAAAAGTATAGCATCATCAGGCCCTCCCTGGGGGTGCAGCGGGTTACAACACAGCACTAAGAAGCTAAAGCCGCTTAGCATGAGCTCGATCCCCGCCTGCCCCGGAGGTGACCACATGGCGCGGCAGACCTCTCCTGACCCGCCCGCTGCTCCCCTCAGCAGTGGACTTCGTCGATCTGCCTGTTCTGCTCCCCACTCTGTCCCTGGTGAATCCTCTCACCCTCCGCATCTCTGGCCTGTACCCCAGAGTTCTGTATGAATGAATAAATAAATAAATCTTTTTTTAAAAAAGTATAGCACCATCATTTATTTTTTAATGACAGAACTGATTATTTGCAGAAATTTTCTAAAGAGCCCAGAATATCATTTGATAACTGTCATTTCTCATCTGACAAGTTGCTTCAGCTGACTTGCATTTGAAAACTGTGTGTGTATTGGGGGGGGGGGGTTTCATGTGCTTTTGTTACTCCAAGATGAGTCCATCAGCAGTGATTTCTAATTCATTTATTTTTATCTTTCCTGATAGAAACCAGTTTGTTACGAGAGATTTCCTTTCAAGTCATTCTGCTTCTTGCCTGCCTAATCATTTCTGCCTGTGCCAGGTAATTTAGGTTTTATTTTCACACAGTGATAGTGCATAATTGATGAGGGCATAACTGGGTAATGCTCTTACCTTCTCACAAATCGTTTTAGGTTGCCCTGTGGTTAGGGTTCGCTCATTTATCTGCCCCTGAAAACTGCCTCTTCACCTATCACCACCCGCCTCTCACCATCCCCCAAGAGTGAGAAGCCTGTTTCCAGTGAGTGAAGCATGGGAGGAAGCTAACTTTACCGCCGAGAAAAAACCTGGTGATGCGTTATCTGTACATGTACAGAGACCAATTTATCTTGCTAGAAATTGGGATTACCACAAATCCACACTTGCTTAAATCCTCAGTGACTCCCTGTGACAAATACAGTCTAGAAATGCCTGGAGTTCCAGGCACCTGAGGACCCCAGTGAGACTACACCTTTGCTGTTGTAGTTTCTATGTCCTAACATAAAGTCTCAGGAAAGCTACACAGCACCTCAAGTACATGATGCTATATTCTGATAACAGGCAAGCTTCTCTTCTGTCCTGGGCCCACCTCATCTTTCCTCACTCCAGACTCCAGGGCCGTGATCAAGCCCCTGGTGTGCTTAGTCCACTGGTGCCTCAGGGCCTTTGCACTTGCAGTATGCTCTGCCTAGCAGTCTCCCCAGATAGTCTCATAGTGTGTGTCCTTACTTCTTTCTGGAACCTGAAAATCATCATCATCGTCGTCATCATCATCATGATCAGAGAGCCCTTGCCTACAAACCCGGTATAAATAGCATACCACTCTTTTGCGTACCTCACTTTACTTTGGTCCAGACCCCTTATCTCCTGTCCCCATGGCCTACTATATATTCACTTGTTTGAATATTAATCATCTAAGGCCTCCTTGGTGGCACAGAGGTTAACAACACAGTGCTATCAAGCGATCTACAGCTACTACAGCACAAGTTTGATCTCCAGCCAGAGAGCTGACCCACATGGTGCAGCAGACCTCTCCTGTCTCTCCACTCACTGCACCCCCAACAGTGAATTTCAGTAGATCCACCTGTTCTGCTCCCCGCTCTGTCTCTGGTGAATCTTCTCACCTTCCCATACCTATGGCCTGCACCCCAACTCTTGTATGCATAAATAAATAAATCATTAAAAAGTAAATACATGTTAATCATTTCTCCCTATAAGAATGTGAGCTTCCTAGGAACAGGGATTTTGTGTATCTCTTTCACTTCTATGCTTCCCAGTGCCTGGGGCTCAGCCATGTCTGTCCATCAGTGAAACAGGGGTCTATGTTACAGTCCTGGGGTCTCAGAGGCCCCGAACGCTGAGGATCCAGTGCTGCTTGCTTTCAAGTCCTCTCAAGGGTCAAATTCCTTATGTGAGCTGGTGTTTTTCAGTGCGAAGTCTTGGATCCCATCCCTTGAGATACCAATTTAGATCTAGTGAAATTCAGTCTTTTAAAATAAGCTTCCCAGATAATTATGAGGTATGAGAAGTATTTTTAGATCACAATGGAAGCAAAAGAACAAAAAAAGGGGAAGATTCTATGGTTAAAAATTAACTTGCAAAATTCTGCATTATATATCCCAAGTTGGAGGATCATGAGTATATTAGCATAACTGAGACCCAGTGGGAAATGTAGTGAAGAAACACTAGCTTTATTTAACTTAGACTTTCCAAAACCTAGCTGATCACGGAAGCTTTTCATTGATTTAATGGAACTACTAATGAATCTTCCCCTTAGGTTAATTTCTGTAGATATTTCCCCCTTCTCTTATGAGGGGAGCTCACACCCCATCCCTTGAATGTAAGCCACATTTAGAAATTTGATTTCAAGTGTTGAGTAGGGAAAAAGGGAGGAAAAGTAATTTTGTAGCCAAGAAACCTAGTACATAGGAACTCACATGGGCAATGGGCAAGGTAAACTTCAACAGAGATGGTTCCGCTGACAGCATGTACCCCGGATAGGATATGATGAGAAAGACATTTTACCTCTGTGGCTTTCTGAACTCAGTCTAATGTGAGAAACCCCAATTGGAGGGGCATGATGCACTTTATTTGACCCATATCCCTCAAAACCATCGAGGCCATCAAAACCAAGGAGAGTCTGAGAAATTGTCACAGCCCAGAGGAACCTAAGGAGACATGACTACAGCAAGCAATGTGCTCGTAGCTTCCTGAATGGGATTCTGGAACATGGTTAAATTAGGGAAAAACTGTAAAGTCCAGTAAGATGTGAGGTTGTTTTAATATTGATAAGACAATGGTGATACCTTAATTTTGGCTATACCACAGTAGCTACAGCATTTGGTCTTCGCATCAACAAGGCACAAACTTCCAGTCACTTTATGTCCCTGTCAACACTTGCTATTTTCTGTTGTCCATTAAAGGGGTAACAGCTTGCTCAACATCTATTGAACATCAGTTGTGTGTAGCTTTAAAGACTTTGAATAAAGTTTTTCTAAAGAATTTTATGAACATGCTGTAAGAAAGTATAGATATTTGCAGATACCCAAGTCTCATTCCAGCTGGGTAAATACCACGGTGTGTAATTGCCAGCTCGTGCCAAATTGTCTTCCAAACTATGTACCATTTTTCATTCGCACACACCATTTTTCTTTCTATTGCCCTTTCTCCCTAGCATTTACTGTTGTCAGTTTGGCATGGTGTAGGGACATTAGCCATTCCAATAGATGAGTCATGATATCTCACTATTTTAGTTTTTACCTTCCTAAGGACAAATGTTGAGCACTTTATCTTATCATCATATATATTCTTTGATGAAATGTCTGTTGACGTATTTCACTCATTTTTGAACGGGTTGTTTGTTTCTTATTGTTGAATTTCAAGAGTTCTTTACATATTCTGGATTGAGTTCTTCATCAGATACATGGTTTGAATATCATGTAATTTCCCTATATTGTTCTTTCTTTTCTTATTCCTTAATGGTATCTTTCACAAAATATTGTTCTTTTATCTTAATAACACACTGTTCATCACCAATCACTTGATTTCTTTGAATGGAGATTGTGCTTTCAGTAATATTTAAAAACTCATTGCCAAGTACAAGGCACACAGCGTGTAGTTGGTGGTTTGCACTGTGGTCTTTCACTGGTTTGCGCTCAACTGGCATCAGGTCCGATCCACGTGGGGGCTTATTCTTTTGCCCATGATCACCAGCTGTTCCAACAACACTTGCTTGATAAGAGTATTCTAGCTCATCAAATTCCTTGTGCACTTTTGGTAAAAACCATGGGTCTGTTTCGGAGCTTTTCTCTTTCATTGATATATATGTCTATTTTCCGGTATCACACTCTCTATTACACAGCTCCCCAGTAAGTCTTAAAGTCAGATGTCTATAGTAAATCTAAAACAACATAATTGTTTTGTTAAGTCTGAGCAATTCTATTGTTTCAGGTGGTTTCTGGGAGGAACATTAGCCACTGTCTTCACCTGCTCTTTGATGATAACTATTGCTTGTAAGTAACTTGCCCAAGTGACTGCTCCGGGCTCTATATTTCATCTAGTTTGGGTCATTTTAAAATATTTTCTCTTTCTTATCCTAGATGTTGTCAAATCACTGTTCCTCAGCCTTGCCAGCTATTGCAAAGACACCTCCTGTGCTCGGTAAGTGTTGGCTGTCCATCATTGCTGGACAAAGATAATCTGGTATCTGAGGATTGTTTCTGCTGAGTCAGAGGTGGCAAGGACTTCTTACAGCAAATGTCCTGAATGTTCATCCTGAAGAAGCTTTGTTACCACTAAAATCTGATAGGATTATCATCCTGTCTCTTAAGTTTTTACGACAAAACAAAATTCATTGTTAAGTCAGCAGGACTTAGGAAATAATGTGATTTTTAAATGTTAAATCATTTTAAAGTGTTTTTATAGATTCATAGCATCGCTCTTTACAAAGACCTCGTAGGAAGAGGCCTTTACCTTATAGTTTTCCAAATAGCTGGCAAACTGCCCATGAAATGATCTCAGTAACAAACTGTGATTTCTTTTCCATCTCTCACTCCATAACGATCCCCCTGTGCGCTGACTACCGTGGTTCAGCATATTTCAAAGGGTTACTGGGGTCTGGGTGAGATGCTCACAGAATTTCAAGCAGCCTGCAAAGCACCTTCCATTGCAAGATGGATTGGGTTAATTACCTCTGCTTCAATATGGCTGGCAGAGACCAGCTCCCAGAGCCTGGAGACTGAGGTCTGCAATTCAGATTGGTCCCTGGCCTTTGCTCTCGACACTCTGTTGCCCTACTTATGAAATCTTGTGTTCATTCTGAAATCACAGTGGGACTTAGTGAAGATTTATTTTGTTTGGGACTCCAGCCAGTATTGATTTACTGTTTCCGTGAGTGGTATGTCCCTTTATTTCCTGGCATCCCAGGTTGGGGAGGAGAGGGTTGTTGCTTAACCTCGGCTCTCTCCCCAGCAGCACAGAACCCAAAACCCCACGCTGCCAGCTTCGAGAAAAGAACTGGTTTAATGAGAGGTCACCTGGCAGGAGACTGGAAGCAGGATTCTCTGATCAGTCTCCCCAAGGATGGGACTTTGGGCCTCATTTATTGGGTTCAGAACAAATATAGGAAATGAAGTAGGTAGAGTCTCATGAATCACACTGTATGGCAAGTCCGGGGCTGGGCGTGCAACAGAATAAGCAAGCTCACTTCTGATTTTTGTCCCCTCACTATGAGGCAGGTTCCTCAGCCCTGTCCTCCAGGGCTATTTTTGATCAATGTGGAGATAGGGAACATTTTTCTTGACCTGTGCTCTAATGTAACTGTCAACTTGTGAACAGTCAAGGGTCCTTCTCCCCCCCTTTATTTAAAATGGGTAGTGCTATTTTAATCCTATTGTGGCAAGCACCCTGTTGCCCCTGCAAGATGAGCAGAGGAGCAAGAACCAGCACACCCTCTGAGCTCCAGGATTGGCACCAATGGGCTGAATGGGGTTTACTTGGTAGTTAAAACGGTAGCCCTGAGGGTCTCCCGAGACTTCTTTGTCCCTTAGCCCTGTGAATTCAGGACACCCCTTTCTCTGGGTGTGGGCAGATCCCTGACCGTAACTGTGTTTCCTTCTGTGGTTTGCAGGCTGAGAGGTCCCAGTCAGGATGGGACTCACAGTAGTTTGCAAAAGCGTTTCACCTAAAGAGCCGTTTTGTATGTAACTCGAGTTGCAAAAGTGAAAAGATGATTGTTTACCAGATGGAGCCATTTGTACGCATTTCTTCCAGTGGGGTTCTAAGAGCACACACAGCTAATTAGAAAGCCAGGTACCACCTTGTTGGGCAGCCCGGTCATGAGGGCAAACTCACTTGAGGCATGGCCTGGGACTGCCATTTCTAGAACTCTCTGGGATCTTGTCAAAGAGCAGACATGTACATCCTGATGCCAGTACCCGAGAGGGCTTCATTTCTAACGTATCCAGGTAATTCTTTGTGCATTTTAGCTGTGAGAGTTATGGAATGGCTTGCAAAAAGCTTTATTTACCCTTTGATTTCTAAAGGGAAATCATTTCAGAAGTGATATACTCAATTGGCTAATCCTACTAACCCTAGTAAGTCACCTATTAAACAACTATCATTAAATAGCACTATAATCTAATAATGGTACTAATAATCCTCTAATAGTAGAGTGTTAGTAAAATAGTATTCAATATTTACTACATAGCAAATTCCTACTAAATAATCTACTAAATTATTTGTTTTGAGATTTATTTTATTTAGTTATGCATACAAAAACTGAGGTGTGGGCCAGAGGTAAAGGGGTGAAAGGATTCATCCGAGGCAGAGTGGGGAGCAGAACAGGCAGATCCACTGAAATATACTGCCGAGGGGAGCAGCGGGTGGGTCAGGAGAGGTCTGCTGCGCCATGGGGATTCAGTTCCCTGGCCAGGATCGAACTTACGCTGCAGTGGCTGGCAATAGTTTCATGGTTCCTTGCACCATGAGGAGGCCATTTCAGAGAACGTTCAGCCGCTCAGCCTTGGAATTAGCTTGTTGGGCTGTGCTCTGCTGGGAGCCCAGTCCCGCCCTGTGGGAAGTTATGGAATCTCCACCAAGGGCTGGGCTGGCAATGCCAAGGCCTAGAGATCTCAGTCTTTAGAGATGTGTACAGGACCTGGGGAGTTGCATTTATATGAGGGAAGAGCAAGAGTGGAGTTCGCACAGAGACGAGGGGCACACTAGGAGCAAGGTCTCCCACACAAGGAGGGGCGGGAATGGGGAGCAGGGGAGGCACCTGAGAGGGTTTGTGAACCTGCTGCCTCTACTCTGAGTTCCTTGCTTGTTTGCCCCTAAAAATACTAGCTCAAGGCCAGAATGATAGTTCCAACCCTTCCCTACAGGCTCACTTATGCAAAAGACCTCTTCTCTGATTGATTGTATACATCTTTAACCTGTTCATCTCTGGTTCCTTCCTAAATTTTTTCTATTTCCTGTCCACTCAGCCTCATGTACCTACTCTTATATTTAAGACCTTGAAACCAAGGACTATTGATATTTTTTCTTTTTTTAATCCATCTCAATGTCTTCAAAATAGTGGGTACTCCATAAATATTCATTAAATGGAGTCTATCTGCTGCATCATTTCGAAAAGTACTTCCTCTATAGCCCAGAGTTCTGTGCCTGCGCAGTGAAGATGTTGCAGTCCTCTCCCTCATATCTAAACATGCCCAGAAGCTAATAAGTCAGACACGGTTATTAATAGCAGAATGGAGAATGACTCAGATGTCTACTCCAGCAGTCAAGGATGAGAATCTAGCAGGATGGCAGCACAAGCATAATGCAGCTCAACAAGCTTTGGCGGTGCAGCCGTCTCACACTGGCCGCTCTTGGTATTTATAATCGACCTGGTGCCTTTGCAGTGCGTCATACTCTTAAATATAAGAGTAGGTACATGAGGCTGAGTGGACAGGAAATAGAAAAAATTTAGGAAGGAACCAGAGACAAACAGGTTAAAGATGTCTCGGGTCACATCCCTTTTCATATGCTAATATATGCTAATACGGTTCTCTTTTTACATACTTTTTATTGAAATAACATGGCACCTAAACACTGCCAATTTCAGGTGTGCACCCTTGTAATTCACATCTGTATATACTACACTAAGTTTGCATAAACAACTCTTTAGCAACCACTTTCTTTGTTCTGTTCGATTTAAAATCTGAAAGTTTGGAGACTGTTGATGTTGTTCATCCTTCTTCCAAGGTGCCTTTTGAATGAAGGTCTAGTAGGTACTCCATATTGCCCATCTTGTGTTAGCATCAACAGGGTATGTCTGCACACTGATGATGTCATAGAAACAAGTGGGTAACATCTGTCTCTACTCCTATATGCGAGTGCATCTTAATGTCGTTGGTGAACGAACGAGTATATGTCAGAGAGTAGAAATCTGGGGAAAACCCAACTGCTCCCCGTAGGGATTCCTGTTCTAGACATAGAGAGACACATATAGGGAAAGAAAACAATGTGAAATAGTAGTTAGCTAAGTCCAAGTTGGGACTAGAGGCAAACATTTCGGTAGCCTTGCAGGGGAACAGTGGCGGGAAAAAGTTACTCTCGTGAAAGTTCCACTCTACTTTTTATGGTTATTCAGGCATGTGTGTGTGTGTGTGTGCATGTGTGCACAGTGCTTATTGTAGATATGCATTTCCTGTGCACATGGATGAATTATGCATTTCTTTCCCTCTTTATCTGATCTAGGTTTGCCAAAATTTGACAACCACCTAGAAGTATTGCGGATGAATGTCCAGAAATTACCTGATTTGCTGACTGCTTGGAATCAACTGCTTTATTGGAAGGGTGTGAGCAACTAAATAAGTGAGAAAAAGAAACGTTTCATTAGTGATGAGATTTTTAAAAAGAAACTCACAATTGTAATATGTTCATGAAAATAATATGTCTTTCCTGGGCAAATGAACAGTTGGAAAAGAAAGGGCTGGGAAAAACACCTGGAGTAAGAGCTCCTCCACTCTCCCTTGAGGCCGAGGTTCGCAGACTTTAGTTGTCATTGGCGAAGACTTTGAGGTGCTTATAACAGTGCATGTTCCTGGACCCACCTATTGACACCCACCTCTGCTGAACTGCCCCTTGGAGCAATGAAAGCAAATTTTCATAATCAACACCAACTTGAAAGTAAATAATAAAAAACGTGAAGTATCAATTGCACATGTCTGCACCTAGAATGAACGCTGTAAACGGTTATCATTCTCCCTGAAGGACGGTGGTGACAGTAAGTAAGGATGGAGAATGGAAGGGAGAGTCATTGACGGAACTCTTTGCTCCTCTTGAGCCACATTCTTTCCCAAGTTTACCACTTTCTTGTGCTCAAGACGAACTTTCAGTCAAACGGCAATCAAAATATCCAACTGCCAGACCAGGCGTTAAAGTTAAAATAGAGGCCAGGCGGAGTCCTCAGCATAGCCAAGTGACACGTTGCAGCAGACATATCTCTCCCATGATACATGTTTCCAAAATACACGTGACCTGCAATTCAAAATGCCTACGTGATGTTGCTGAGCTAAACACGTAGGTGGGGAATTGTCTTCTGCTTAAAATGGCAATGTCCACATGTTAATTTTTTTTGTATCATGCCTGTGTATCATAATGTATTTAATATACTTTTGGTCAGAATATTTATACTAGTGTGACATTGTGATTTATAATAATAGGTATGTATTTGGTCTCTATTCCTGGTCCTACTATAGAAAATCTAAAACTCATGGAAATTCCTAAGTGAATAGCACCATAAAGGTGTCTTTACTGAGTTAACTAGGCAAGTCTCGGAAGCACTTAAGGAGAGGGGCTGGTTCCCAGGAGAGTCAACCGTTGGGTTAGGAGATGGAACCTCTAGTCCCCATCCTCCCTCCAGTAGCCAATGATTTAATCAATAGTGCCTAGTAATGATGTTATCAGAGAATTCCATGTTCTCTACTGCCTGCCCCATGCCAGCGGCCGATGAGGCAAAAGATAAGAGTTGAATATTATTATGTGCTTTTATTATGAGCTTTGCCAACAAGTCTGAGAATGGCCGAGTGTCAGGCCCCAATGAGACTGTCCTGACTCCTACTCTTTAGTAGGGAACAAGACATTCTATGGAATGGCCAATATGAGAAGAGGTATGGAGGGAAGGCACAGGGAGGGGGAATCCCCTAAGGAGAACATACCTTGACTTCTCAGTCACCCTCTTACATAATATATGTACCTAATAAATAGCAGAAAGTCAATATTTGCTGATTGCACCTGTTTGATGTATTAATTATGCAGGACTTCTAAAGACCCTTATTGGAGCTATTATTTTGTTGCTCTTATGAGAGCAAGTAATTTGTATATTTATTCTAACTCATTCATCTTCTACAATCCAATCACTGCAATTATTGATCACCTTATCATTATTTTTCACTTGTTAGAAATCAGAAATTTTATTAAAATAAGTAAATAATGCTATCAGTGTTCAGGAAGCAGACCTCATTGCCGAGTACAAGCTGAGTGTGTAATTGCAAGTATCCTATATATATAAGAGCAAAAGAAAGGCCTTCCTGATAAAACATTTACAAATTCAGAATACTGGGAAGAGTATAGTATGTCCTTTTCTTGAAAACAGAAAGGGTTGAGGCATGAAAAGAGAAGCAACGTACCAAAAACAGGTAAAGTAGAAAAGAAACTAGAAAAAACAACCACAGTGGAAGTCTGCAAACTGTAATAATAGATATAATAATTAGGTTGCTTATTCTGCACCCCTGGTAATTTAAAAGTACATGATTTCTTAAACCACATATCAACACTGGTAAGCAGGTGTGATAGTTGATTTTGTATATCATTTTTTGCTAGATTCTGGTGTTCTGTTATTTGGCCGAATATCAGCTACATGTTGCTGTGATGTTACTTTTAGTTGGGATTAACATGTACCGTCAGCTGGCTGTAAGTAAAGCAGATGATTCTCCAGAATGTGGGTGGGCCTCACCCAATCAGTTGAGGGTTTCCCAAGAAAGAAGGGTTTCTGCAACATGGAAGAAATTCTGTCTGAGGACCCCAGTTTCCAGTCCGTGGACTCAAAACCATAACGTCATTTCTTAGCTAACCCTCCAGCCGCCGGCTCGCCTGTGCATTTGAGACAGCCTCGGGAAAAGAAGAGCGGTAGAATGAGTTGCCCCAAGTCCTGCTGGAACAGGGGACTACGTGATGGGCTGGAGAGCCCTGTGCAACGCTTCGGCCGCCACACTGACCACGAGTTGCCATGCTAGACAAGAAGCATCAGGTCCTGACTGAGGACCTGGTGATTCCGTTTCCAGGAGGGCGGAGCCTGGAGCCCAACCTGGCAGGCACAGTCAGGCCTGCGAGCAGGACCAGTCGGTGCGCGCCTGGCGGAGCCCGACCAGAACAAACTTTGGCATTGCTTTTGTCCTCCCCAACTCAGGGACTTGTACCAGGGGCGGTCCAGGAAAGGGGAGGTTCCAGGTTCCGGCCCCACCCAAGGAAGGGTGGAGCTGAGCAGAGAAGACCTGGCTGAGGAGGAGCAGAGAGAGGAAGAGGGATGGGAAATGAGATGGAGGAGGCCATGCTTCTGAGGGACGTGTGAAGGAGCTGTGCTTTCTTCTTGGCGTTGGGCTTGTAGCAGAGACCTGGGGGACACAGAAGGAGACATTTAGAAAGATGTGGGTGGAGACCCTTGGGGAAGTTAACCATGGCTGCGATGATCTTGATTTTGATTTCACTTCTTTCATCCCAGCATTTCCTGGCCCCTTCTGTCCCTTTCCAGTGGGTGACCACTAGAAGGTGCTTCAGACTTGTGGCCAGCTTTTGGACCTCCACAGCCCTGCTTGGGGCCCACCCTCTTTGGCTGGGCATTTATCTACAAGGCAATGAATAACTTTGGATGCTTTTTTGGGAACTACTTTGTCTATCCTTTCCCGTCTCTTCTTTTCATTACACACTAATTGTATTCCAGTTCCTTTCCAGGAGGCCACCCACGAGGGGCAAGGGATTAAGTCTCAGCACTATGAAGAATCTGCAGCCACTGCAGCATGAGTTTAATCCCCGGCCAGGGAGTGACCCACAGGGTGCAGCTGATCTCTCCTATCTCCCTACTGCTCCCCTCAGCAGTGTATTCCAGTCAGTCTGCTTGTTCTGCTCCCCACTCTGTCCCTGGTAAATCCTCTCACCCCCTGCCCCCCACATCTCTGGCCTGTACCCCACCTCTTGGATGCACAAATAAATAGATTTAGTTAAAAAAAAGTTCCTTTCCACCCGAAAGTAGATGACTGGATTAAAAGATGTGGTACATATACACAATGGAATATTATTATTCAGCGATCAAAAAGATGAACTCCTGCCTTTTGTAGCAACATGGATGTTGCTGGAAGGGGTCATGCTTAGTGAAATAAGGCAAAAAGAAAAAGAAAAATACTGGATAGTTTCACTCATAACAGGACCATAAAGGACCAGCGGGGAAAATAATAGTGAATAACTATATACCAGAGACATTTTATGTGGGTGGAGTAGGAAATGGGATCAAAAACTGGGGGAGGGAGTGCACAGGACTACGGTGATGGTGTTATAGGACAGCAAATCTGTTAGAGAACAAGGGGAGAGGGACACCCCTGAAGCCCCAAAACCTGCCTGCTCTAAGTGGGTTCTGCCTTCCGCCCCAAGAAGACAAAACATATAAAACTTTAATGAAAAGGGACTGTAATACAGTGAATATACAATACAGAACACAAAGAATAGAACTTCTAAATCAAGCACCCGAAGTGACCCATCCCCTCGTGGGCAAAAGTCCACCCAAAGGGATCGGCCCAGAGCAAGGCCTAAAAGCTGCCACTAGACTAAAGCACCTTCTGGCCAGGACCCATGGAAAAGGGTCAGAAATGGCCAGGCAAGTCTGGGAGGAAAAGAGCAAAATCAAATCAATATAAATACGGCCAGAGTCACCTCCATGCAGGTCTCTCACCCACATCTGCCTTAGCCAGTCCAGGGCCAGGGAACAAACCCGGTTTCTCCCTCACATGCTCGCTGCTCCATGTGGCTTCCTTAGGTCTCCTCCTTCTCCATCCTGCTTCATTCTCTTTTCTTCTCCCCTTTTCTCTGCTCAGCTCCACCCTCCTTCTGGGTGGGGCAGGGACCCTGGAACTTCCCTTTTTCCTAGGGAACCCTGTTACAATGGCACATGGGTGATTTGGTAGTGGGATGCCCATGGGGATTACAACTGAGATGGAAAAAGGCACAAAATGATGTAAAAATAAGCTATCATATATTTTAAAAAAGAAATACCTGTGATAAAATTTTAAAAAAAGTGACTGTGCATTAAAAAGAGGCCTGGTAACTTTCCCACAGCTCAAGGTGAGTAGGAGATGTGGGTTCAAACCTAGGCTGTGCACCCGCAGCCCTTGGCCTCCCCACTGCTGGTGGCTGCTGAGGAAGGTGACGGCAGGGGCACTGGGCCTTGAAGAACAAGCACGGCAGAAGCTGCTCCCTCCAGAAACACGAACTCAGGAAAAAGTTTCCTGAGAAGAAACAGAACAAGAGAGCCCCGCCTCACGCTCTGCACAGACACTATAGTCAGAGCCATTTTGATGGCACATCTCTGTGTGGCCAGAGGCTTTAACCCTCAGCCCAGTCCTGCCCAGGGTTGCTTCTCGAACAGGCAAGCCCTCACTGACTGCTGTAGCCTGATGACATGTGGGCCAATGACTTGGTGCGCACGTGCACACTGGCCCAGGGGCTCTAACTGCAGCCTGGCGGAGTCCTGGCTGTGTGGCGTGTGACCACACCCTTGGCTTGTGACAAACGCCACAGACGCATTTCCCCGAGCATGTTGCCTCTGTTAAATGACACATGCTGTGCTGGCTGTGTGGTCCTCACCTGGTGACCTTGCCATTGGCCGTGTGGCCTTCAGTGAGGCTGTTACAGGGCAGGGAGAGAGGGGCACGACTGAACCCCCAAACTTGCCTGCTCTAGATAGGTTCTGCCATCGCCGCATCAGGACAAAACATGTAAGACCTTTCATGGAAAGGAACTTTAATACAAAGAGTGTGCAATATAGAAAAGACAAAGTATATAATTTCTAAATCAAGCACCCAAAGTTACTTGTCCCCTCGTGGGTAAAGTCCACCCAAAAGGGACGGGCCCAGAGCAAGGCCTGAAAGCTGCCACAGTCTAAAGCACCTTCTGGTGGGTCCCATGGAAAAGGGTCAGCAATGGCCAGACAAGTCTGGGAGGAAAAAAGCAAAATCAAAACCAAGATAAACGCGGCCACAGTCCCCTCCCCGTGGTCCCTCGCCCACGTCTGTGCCCCCCAGTCCAGGGTCAGGAATGAGAGCCGCCACTTCGGTATCTGCTCCCTGTGCCCCTGGGTCTCCCTCTGGCCCCACCCTCATCTTTCCTCTTCAGTCTCCTCTCCAGATTCTTCTCTTCCCTGCTCAGCTCCACCGTCCTTTGGATGGGACAGGGAATCTTGAACCTCCCCTTTTCCTGGGGATTACCCTGTTAAAAGCCAGTGAGTCTTAGTTTCAGGACCCTACAAATGCCACGGGCTGGGAAAAGTAGCGGAGCAAGTGGA